AACATACACACACACACAGACAATAGCCTTGGCCATAGAATCAACCAAATTGCTCCTGCATCCATTAGACAAGCAAGTGGTGAAGCCAAGAAGGGGCCCTGCGGTCCGCCCGGGGGGGGGGGGGACCCTCCATGCCCCCTCCTCCTTGGCCCACCTCTAAAGGAACCGTCACTTTTTCACTACCAAGTTTTAAGCCCCACTTTTTCCTCTCTTTTTCCCTCCCAGGTACCCTACTCTGAGCACCGATGATTGGACGTTGGTTCCTTCAGGTGCTGCCCTTCCTCCTCCCAGGATGGTGTCCCTCCGGTCAGCAGGGGAGCCCCCAGTTTCCCCAGGCAACAGGACCCCTCTTGATCCTCCTTTCAGGGCACCTGCTGACCGGCTGAGAGCAGGTGAAGAGGAAGCCCCCCCCCCAAAGCCCCTTAATCCTCCTGGCTTGCCGAGTGAGATCCATGGAGGTCAGCCAAACGCACCCGCTCTCCTCCCCCTCCCTAGTCATGAAAGGGAGCTCCCCAAGGAGGAGGATGCAGGGATGGGCCCAAGCGAGGGCAGCACGGAAGCCCCTTCTGCCCTGTCGACTCCGGCTGGCACAGAACCAGGCGAGTCCCAGTCTGGATCTCCTGCACAGCCCTCACCACCTCCTGCCCAATACACATCAATGCACGCGTGCAAATACATACGGATAGGGAGAGAGGTTGCTTTTCAAACAAGACAGACTTTGTCAGTTCCAAGTGGAGACGCTCAAAAATGTTCAGGCATCAAAGAGCATGGCATCTCAGGGCCCTCCAGGCTCTGGAGGGGCTTCGGGAGCAGGTCTCCCACAACGGGCACCGCAAAAGGGGCAAAGGCTTCCCAAGAACAAGATCCTTGGCAGGTGGGCTGATCGACAGGCCCGCCTCTCCGCCTCGATCGCCAAAATAGCTCAAGGCAGCCGAGACTGTTAGGACTCCCGAGACGACCACGAAAGGCAAGTGGCAGAAGCAGGAATGCAGGCAGCGCACTGGGGCATAAGTAAGAGACAAGCACCTCTCCTTATAGAGGAATAGCCTAACAGGGGCCATCACTACGGCGGTGAGAGGAGGAACCCCTTCATCTAGGGCAGAGGGGTCAAACTGGCGGCCCGC